CGACGATGAAGGGGGACATGCCGACGCCCTGGATGACCCAGGTGTGATGATTAGGTGTAATTCCACATTGTACCAAACGGTGTCAGTAGTGGTTTGTGGGAACAAGGGATTGATGTTTTAGGTACAGGGAGGCAGCAGAGGAAGTTGTTGTTGACTGGCTAGCACGAGGAATAAAGAAACCCATAGAGTTTGCACAAGAGTGGTCACAGTTTATTTTCATGAAGAATAATGAACAAAACATGGTACCAGGAGTAAAACCAGAACGAGGTGCACTGTGAACAGAGACATGGATTCGTTAAAGCCACCGGAGACTTTGAAACTAACGGGGAATGTCGACAGCAATTGGCGCATCTTCAAGCAGCAATTTCAGCTGTAAATCATGGGTCTAGAGACGAAGTCTGATGCAAGGAAGGTAGCGTTACTGCTAACGAGACATACGAGAGATATGTTTTTCGTTCCCGGGTGCAGCAGCAGCGTGAACCCTTTGATAGCTTTCTGACCGACTTGAAGCTCAAAGCACAGTCATGCAACTTTGCTACACTGAAGGACTCCATGCTCCGAGACCAGGTCGTGTTTGGTGTGGAGGAAAGGCTACTGCGGGAAACGGAGCTGACGCTGGAAGGGGCCATCAAGATCTGCCAGGCAAGTGAGCTCTCGCAAATGTGAGGACATTCAGCGAGTTAGCGGCGAGCGCAGTGAGTGTGGGTGATGGCGCCGCTGTAAGCGTTGTCTCAAGTGAGGGACGGAGACGCCTTGCGCAGCAGACAGACGATCGAACGTTCAAACCCAAACAGTGGCCTGCCTTTGGTAAGTTATGCTCTAATTGCCAGGGCAAGAACCACTTTGCCAAGCAGGTCTTCTCGAAAAGAAACGAGGGGAAGACGGTAAACTCTGTAAGCATGATGGAGGATTCTGATCTGTGTGACACATTTTTTGTTGGCATGGTCAACTGTGAAAATGAACCAAAAAACAAACTAAATGCTGTCAGAGAGGATAAATGGAGAGCACCACTGCAGATAAATGGGACTGCATCGCTTAAGGATTGTGTATTCAAAGAGCCTTGGTGAACCTTTCTAGCCGTAAAGGTGTCACTGAAGACATTCAACAGGACAGGAAAAGGGGCTATCTGACCCCTTCTCCCTCCCGCAGGTCACCTCCGGCCTCATCCTGACTCTTTTCTCTCCACAGAACGGCTGAGCCATAAACCAGCATTTCGTTCTCTGATCGCCGATGTGATAAGCCAGGAGTGCAAAGAAAAGAGACCATAACAACCCCTGTTTCTCGAACCAAGCAAGGTTCCATTATTACTGTGTTTGTTCTGTTTAAATAATAACCTTGCTAAGTGAGCAGCGGCGTTTGCCTCTGAGTTTAGTAAGTAATGACCCTGGTAATGGACAGGTTCGCTAAGTAGGCCTACCTACCACCATGTAACTGCATAAACGAAATTTTACTGCCACGCTTACATCTAAATTGTCTCTTGAGTTAAAACCAGTAACCAGCAAGTTTACTGAGGACAGGTAATTAAGCTTTGTTACGTTTTATTATAACCATTATAACCTTTTTCCATAGTGTTTAGCCTTGTTTTAATTGTCTTTATCCGAATGTTTAGAACTGAGTATTTTTCCAAGATATTGTGGAGAGAGAGATTAAAGGGAAATACGCGCAACGTATCCCAAAAGAAAGTTAACACCTTCGGGGTGACTTCCCCTGAGACCCACTCCCAAATTGACGTCACCACTACCTAATGAAGTCAAATAAAAGGGCCTTGTTGTCTTTTGGCTCACCTCTTCTCTAAAAAACTCTCTTGAAACTAAACCTATATGCTCTCTTAACTTCCTTTACTTTTTGAAATTCCGATGTTTTTCCGTTTCGTACTTACATTTTCTTCAGACGAGCTGAGAAAGCTACGACCCTGAATCCCAATTTTCTTAGCGGGAGTTTTGATTTTTGATTTTTTGTTCGGAGCTGCCTGTTTAATCTCAGCAACATTAAACAGCCGATATTCCCGAGGCCTCGCGAATCTACGGCGAATGTGTGTTTATCAAATCCACCGGTTTCGAACTCAACTCGAAAAAGCTACTGGGGTCGGGCCAGAACCGACTCCACGAGCCGACTGGCAGTCGAGCCTCGCTACGGGACCTGCGGCAACGGTAGGGCAAAACAAACCACCCTCTGTGACTCGTTGGTGTTCTCTAGTGGCTCCATCCACAGTTAATAAACCCTTAGATTAGTCAAACTAAATCTGCAACCTAATTTCGGTCATTCGTTCCCTCATACTCGTAGAATTCTCTCCCTCTACAATATAAACTGAAATCCAATCGAGCCTTACGTAGGCCACCCTGTTCATTACCTCCTGGGTGTCATATTGACTGTTGTCCCTGTAATAATACCACTATTGTACTCTCTTTAGTTAGTTAATCAATTCACCTTGAGCACAGTGATGTTGTGTGTGTGTTATTAAGAATCTAGAGTCCCTGTATAGAACTCACCCTCAGATTTGAGATTGACTGATTGACTAGAGTTTACGATTTCAGAATAACGGAACCAGTAACAACTATTGAATTACCGGAAATTTGTGTAATTCTCAGGCTTTACTCAAGGACCTAAAGCCTTGGGCGGACAAGCAAATCTTTAGGTGGTGCTCCTAGTTTCAAGTCATAAATTAATATTCCTGGAAATATTAATTTTCATAACTGGATTAAAATTATACGTAGCCATGAGATGAGAAGAGATGTTTTGTACCACATTCCAAACCACCCCTCACCCATTGGTGCTAAGTAAGTGTCCTTATCTGATCATGCAGAGACCCCCTGTTTCTGCACCTCTCCAAAAAACACACAAATCAGGTCGAGTTTAATAAATGATAAAGCAACATATAAACTTCTACCTATAAAATACATCGAGATCAATATAAGAAAACACAATACTAGTGGTTCCCCTGAGTAATACACAAATCATGCTATCAGAATCTCTCAGCATGAACGGCAAAAGCTCAGAGAAACCCTGACAACTGCACCTGTATTGGCATTCTACGACCCGGCGAAGAGGATCAAAGTGTCGACAGACGCCTCAAAGAACGGGATTGGTGCAGTACTTTTACGAGCTGAAGGTGAGCACTGGAAACCAGTAGCCTATGCATCCAGATCCATGACAGAGACTGAGTGTAGATACGCTCAAATAGAAAAAGAATGCCTGGGACTTGTGTTTGGCCTGGAGCGGTTCCACAGCTACATTTATGACCTACCATCTTTCACGGTGGAAACAGACCATCGCCCGCTAGTCGCCATGGTCAAAAAGAATCTGAGCGAGATGTCGCCAAGGATTCAGCGTTTGATGATGAAAAAGCAGAGATATGACTTTGAGCTGATCTCCACCTGATAATTGCAGATTTGCAGAGGACGTTCAAGATCGCGTGAACATGGTGTCTTCTGCACTTCCTGTGTCAGATGAAAAGTCCAGACAAATAGCTCATGAAACTTCAAAAGATACGGAGCTGCAGTGAGTCATTGAGAACATGAAAAATGGATGGCCTGTGGGATCCTGTCCACAGTTCTACCACATCATTGTTATTCCAGAAAAGATGAGACAGGACATACTACACGGGATCCATGAAGGTCATCTTGGTGTGGAGAAATGCAAAAGACGGGCGAGAGACACAGTTTTCTGGCCTGGAATAAACAAGGACATTGAGAAACTAATAAGCAGATGTGACACGTCAAAAACACAGGAACAAGCAAACCAAAGAGCCTGTGGTGGTAACTGCAGGACCAACAGCGCCATGGCACACGGTTGGAATGCTAAATAAATAAATAGGGAAGTAGTGCAATGAATGTCTCAAATGTAGTGGAGTAAAACTTTTCTGTAAAAATCTACTCAATTAATAGAGTAAATGTAACTCTTTACTACCCACCTCTGTTTTCTTCTCTCCCCACCACATGTTAGAAACACAACGCAGAGTCCAAGGGGGACGCCTTGCTAATCCTGGACTTGAGTGATCCAGAATGTTCTGGTCTCATTTAACAAACTGACTGTATTTGGGGAGTTCATGGCTGAGGTTTCCTTCCTTAAAGTCACCAAGAACAATAAAAAGGGAGTCCAGGTTAGTCGCTCTACTCGCAGTATCTGGTCGGCCAGCGTGCGCTGTGCGTCGTGCACGTTGGCCTGCGGTGGAATATAAACACCGAGCAGAAAGTAGGAAGCAAACTCGCAGGGAGAGTAAAACGGTTTACAGTGTGTCAGTAAATATTCCAGATAAAGTTTTCAGTGAGTTGATCAAAAATCAAGCCGTTAACTTTGAAGATGCTGAAGTGTTGGTGTAGAGAAACTGTTGTCCTGATGGTGGCGCTAGAGGAAAGGTCAGGAGGTCACCATAAATGTTAGGATTCATCCTCTGGGAAGCAGAAACATCCACAGGACATTTATGGAAACCTGGCAACAGAACCAGCGTCCTAATAAGCCGCTGCTAGAAGGGCAACATCCTGACCTGACATGTGTCCAAGATTTGGCTTTTAAAATGGAAGAAAGTGAAATGATGTGCTGAAATCTACTGAAAGCTGTTAAACAACAAGTGCTGCTGGAAGGGTTTTCATTCAGAGCAGATTAGTATTGTGAGGGAGGAATGGACTTTATTCCAGCAGCAGAACAAAGAGGACGACTTTAATCTGCATCTGGAACATCTGGCTGGAAACTTTATCTATATATCATTTACTTTAAGGATTACTTCATAAAGTGAATCAGGATTATATTTTTATTTAGTTTCCTCTTTATCTTGTTTGCTCATTGTGCTTCTGTGCTGCTAGTTTGTCCTCACTGTGTGGAACAACAAGAAACCTGCTGGAATATCTGATCAAATAGAAATCAATAGAATATTAAAGAAATCCCTCAGCTCAGTATGTTTGTGACTCTGGCTGAGATGGAGGTGAAATATGTGAACCTGGGCTGTGGTTTACTGCTCTCTTCCTGTCACAAACACTGTTTGACATCTGCTGCTTTTTGTTCAGGCTGCACGGATCATTTCTCACTGTGGAGACCACTCTTCCAACAGGAGCAGTAGTAGGTGGCTGAATGAGTGGTGTTAACTTTCTGGATCTGCAATTCCCAGCCGTTCTGATTATTCACAGCTGAGAAATCATCTTTCTGAGGATGATTGGGATTTTTATGAACTTGATCATTATTCCTATCAATATAAAGAATCGCTGTGAATGTTTCTGTGTCTTTCTTCTGGTACCAGTATATCCAGCTGCCACTGTAACACTGGTCAGTTCCTCGACAGCTGAAGGAAACAGTTTCATCGACTCTCCTGGTCCATGTTAAATCCTGAATCAGGTCTGCTGCCATGGCAACCAGCGCTGTAGAGACACAGACAGATAGATGAAGGTCAGTGTGACAGTGTTTGTTCCAGGTGGAGTTTGCTGGCTCCTGATTGGCTGGAAACACTCACCTGAACACAGACAGCACAGAGCAGCAGCTGGGAGGAAAAGCATTGTGTGCAGTGGTGTTTCCTCTGGTGAACCTGGGGAGAAGTGGCGCTCTGATGCAGCTGAGGCCAAACAAGGACGAGCTGTGAGATCAGACGAGGGCCGCGTGGTTTCTAACGGGTCCTCAGACCTCCCATCAGCCCCTGCGGCGGACAGATAAGGCTGCTGCTGCTGATTGACAGCTCAGCTGAAGCTGCTGTGTGGTTTTCTGCTGAGTCGGAGGTTTTAAAGAGGAGAGGAATTTAGTAACACAGACTGTTATCTGTTGTTTAACAGCTGGGAGGAAAATACAAAAGTACAAACTGTGACTTTAACCCTTAAATGTCCCCTCACATTTCATCATTTCATTTCTACGACACATGAAACCTTTTCCACACACAGCATCACATCTTTATTTAGTGTTCTGTTGTTCAGTCTCTTCATTAAAGATACATGATGTTTCACTTTGTTATTCTTAATAGAAAGTAAAATGTTTCCCTCTGAATTGTAGTGGAGTAGAAATATAAAGTAGCAGAAAGTGGTAAAGTACCTCTAATGTGTACTTCAGTCCAGTACTTGAGTAAATGTCCACGGTTACTTTGAACCGCTGTCTGTATGTGTGCAATATCAAATGTCACTAGATCACTAAACTTAAACAGCAAAGATGAAGTGGAGGAAATAATCAGCAGGTTGATCCAGAATGAAAAGAATCATCAGCTGCAGTCTGATACTAAACAGTTCAGAATGAGCTGCAGCTCAACAACTACAGCAGCAACATCCTGCTGCACATTAATGAGGAGGAAGAAGAATCTGAGGAGAGAATATATAATAGTACAACAGACACAGTTAATCTTGTTATTAATGACAAACACAAGTTTTCCTGCTGTCACGTGTCAAAATGTCTCCATAAAAAAGTTCTGCATGCTGTCAGGATTATAACTGTCACACTGCTGCCCTCTAGTGTCTGCAACAACACACTGCGTCTCCACCTGATACTACTACTACTGCTATTAATACTAATACTGCTGCGACTACTGTACTGCTGTTACTGTGTAGAACAAATCCTTCACACTGCTGCCCTCTAGTGTCTGCAACAACACACTGCGTCTCCACCTCATACTACTACTTTTTCACACACTCAACATTTCTCCTGTTTTAGCTTCTCTGCATTGGCTTCCTGTAAAGTCCAGAATAGAATTTAAAATCCTTCTACTTACCTACAAAGCTCTTAATGATCAGGCACCATTTTATCTTAAACTACCAGCAATTTCCCCCAATTTCCAGGACAAAGACCTAAAATAACACACCCTAAAAGAATCAGGAATAACTCCTCAACCATTCGGCTTGGTGCATAATAAGTGAAGATATTTATGTCACCAAAAATCAAATACAAGCTAGCGCACACTGATATGACTTTACTGCATTTATTGTGAGTGAAGTAGTATACTTTGTGCTTCCACGTCGTTTAAAGACAGACACAATGCTTGGTTCAGGTGCTCATATGTTGGGACCTCCATACTGGTCCGTAGAGTGGCGTGGCAATCAGGGGCAGGGGAGCCTCCCGCAGCGTTTCCAACCACGGGCAATAAAACACGAAATTCCCTGTGCACAGCAACAATATTTATTTTTAATATTTATGTTACCATTACAGACTAAATAAAGGAAAATATGAGATTTCCATCCTCGCCTTGTATAAAATCTATATTTACCATTTATCACCATCAAAACCTCCTCCTGCAGGTTATAATGCAACTGAATATCTCCTGCTACACCTGGACTACAACTGGAACTGTAAATTTGATGAAGAAACTCAAATACACAATTTATAAAATTATACCCAGGAGGTGTTCATGTTAGTATTATAGATCTACTGTTTACATGTTTCTGTCCACACAAACGTTACAAATAACATCAAGTTCTTAAAACATTGAAATATTGATCAATACAATGACTAGTGATCAATATTGCTTGGACCAAAGAACCCCTTTGCTACCGCAGCCCTTTCATTCGATGTAACTACCACGAGTCAGCGATACTGTAACACTCTGGATGTCAAAGCCAGGAGGGAAACGTCAGAGGTCAGAGTGCATTATATATGGTGCCTTTCTCATTTCCCAAAGTGCCTCCTTGCTCCTCGAGGTGCATTTTAGGAACTGAGATGTTCTTCAAGATGCACTGAGATCAATTTCCAGGTCACAGGCTGGAGCATCGAGGAGGCCCTCGGTCTGTTCAGACATGTTTTTACTTATTTATCAGGGTTGATGAACCTGAATTAATCCAGTGTTCATATTTAGATGCAAATTAGCACATATTTCATTAGATACTGCCTCATTTGCTTATTTAGACATAATATTTTTACCCTATTCACTTCACGCAGTGTCTCGCCTTAAACAAATGAGCTGATTATTTGTTTGTAAACCATCTGTTTTTTTCATGTAGTTTGGTTTTTATTCCACCTTAAATTTACTTTTATTCTTAAATATTTGTAGCGCTGCTGACTTAGTGCTGCTGCCTGTTTTATTTAGTATTTTCTTTGTAAATAAAATGTTAAAAACACGCCTGTCGCTGTTGAGAAAAGTCCAAGATGATGTCATCTAAACACTTGTTTTGTCCAATCAAACTTCAAACTTCGATGGATCAGGCTTAGTTGCCATCACACGCCCTCAGTATGGCACTTGAGTCACATGATAACAGGTGGTTGTCTTCAGGTGGTAACATCTGTCTCTGTTCACAGACGCTCTCTGGGTTGAACCGCTGTGGTTTGATCCAGTGAATAGTCAGGAGCGAGAGGCGCTGAATAAACGGGGACTACAAAAACACTACAGACGACATTTGTTCTTGTGAAAGTCGGACTGAATCAAATATTATTGTGATTGTGATGAGATTTGTGTGTCCTGGCCTGCTGCAGCATCATCGGCTCTCTGGGCCAGTGTGAGATGGTCAAGAAGGAGTGAGGTTGGATTAATGGACTTTGGAACCTCAGGCCCCAACTCGTCCCTTTCCGTAACTGTCGTCAGCAGGAAAACACGTTCCGCCTCGCTTTTAGGAGGTTGAGGAGGTAAATTTGTGTCTCCTCCCCTGTCAGAACGCACAACCTCATAATCCATGTGGCCCACTCGCCGTGTGACTGCCAGGGGTTCTACCACCTGGTGAGTAATTTAGAGGTGGAATAATACAAGCACCTTATCTCCAGATGCAAACTGGCTTAACCTAGTTCCTCTGTTGTAGAGACGCTGCGGACGCCCTGAGCAAATTCTCCCATGACGACCGGCCTAATGTGTGGAGCTTTGCTCTGATGTTTTCTTTCTGGAAATTACAACCTGAAAGTCGTGAACTCTGACCCTGCACATTTTCTCAAAAGGAGACATTAACAGAAGCAGAGAGTTTTGGCGGTTGTGCTTCTACCATGAGTAAGTCGGCTGCAGAGTAAATGCTTTCTTTTTTGTCTCTTCACGATCAGGACTCAGCACAGGCTGTTTCATACTGAAGAATAAAGCGGAGACCCTGAAGCGGTCGATCAGCTCGTCCACATCTGTGAAGTTAATGGAACATTATCATGATTTGATTTGAGATGTGTTATTATAGATTAAACATGTTTATCAGTTCATAAATAAAGTGCATCTGTTCTGTCTGCATATGTAGAACCAAGGGAGTCTCATGCGGCCTTTGTGATGAAGGTGAACAACCTGAACAACTTGTGTCCGAGAAGGAGAAGGAAGAAGTCAACATTATCAAGGGTCCAGTTCATTATACCAAAAATAAAGAAAACATATTTCCGCTCTCGGTTACTGTATCAAAAAACAAGAGAACCGGTTTATACCAGTAAATATATGAAAATACAAGCCAGGAGTTATAGAGCAGCTGTAACATTATCAGAATCATCAGAATCAGAACACTTTATTGATCCCAGAGGGGAAATTCTTTGTTTCAGATACTCGCATGGCTCAAAGAAATAGATATTAATCATGAAAGCACAATATCAGGATAACATTAGAAGAAACACCAAACAAACTGGGAACCAAGGGAAAATTGTTAGCAACCGTAGTTGAATACATTTTTAATATTGTGCATTTATTCACGTACACAGCAAGAGTCCCGTTTAAAGAGCGCATTGTTGGTGCAGCACAGTTACTTAGATAGTTTAACCTCAGTCATTTCTGTGTGTGCAGAGTTGTTACTGTCAGCACTGATTTTTAATTTGGTTTCCACTCTAAAGGCTGTTGTTTGAGTGAAATGTTTCCCTTCTCTACCAGCAGGTGGCAGCACGAGTGTATTTAAAGGTTTGACTGGTTTGTGTGTTCAACTGTTTTTAAACCTGGTTATTGATCCAGATCTATTTAATGCTGTTAATTTCATTTGTTGTTTGATGTTTGTGGTTTATTTGCAACCTGGTTATTTAAAGTATACTTTGTTTTTATATATCTTTTCACAACCATAAAAATAAGTATATGATTCCCAGCAATCTTTTTCTTCTTTAAACATGTTTCCATGTTATTGTTGTTTGAAGAAGTGTGTCTATATTAAGAGTTTTTTTCACCACTTCACAACCCTTTGCTACACACAGTGTCACACAGGACACATGCCAGTAAAAGACATTTCAACCAGTCACTGATGGAAACAACTAAAACTGTACAGTAGGCCAATAGTTACAAGGATCAGTTTTTGTTCTCATGACTTTCCCTTCACGTCATTCAGTGAGGCTGCCGCATCTTTTCCAGGTTTCTCCAGGTAGGCTCCAGGTGATTGTCTCCAATACTTTACAGGTTTGTTGTGCTGTGAGATGAAACATAAATCAAATCGGTATCTTTAAGGTTTGTTCAAATAGGCGATGGGCCGAGGCCAAGTATCTGCTTTAGTTGTTAGTTGAGCAGACATATCCTGCCTTTCTCCTCCTCTTGAGGGTCTTAGGGTCAGACCCACCTCCTCCACCTCCACATCCACACATAGTCAATATTGAAACAATAGTGTATTCTACCCTACAACACGTCTAAAGACTGAAAGTGACACTAATAAGACAAATTACTGCAAATGCATAAAACTACATCAACACAAGCACTCCAAGTTTATGTGCCGTGTCACACGATGACCTTCACATTCCTCACAGCTGCAGTCTTCTTTGCAGGGGCCCCTTGCAATCACCTTATTCTACTTTTATCAACGGAAAGCCTGTACAATCTGTCAAACACAACCCTGACCCCTCTTTGAACTGCCTCCCACTACTCACTAAAATC